ACAAGCCGTAATCATGTGGGAGCAAGGCCTATGGTATATGGTTGGTTTCCCACATGAACATTTGTTCTCATTGATTATTACTTTATGCTTTGCAGCACCACGGTCTTCACCATCGATGTTAGTTCCACCACTCTCTAGAATCTTATATGCATTGTTCAAAGGATCGAAACATGCTCCCTTTTGTGTTTTAGGCTTCTTCTTTGAGAAACAGAGTTGTTGAGATACTAACAGTGGCCAAGGTTTGTTTGCTATCCATAGAGATATCACATGTTTTTTTTCCTCGCAACAAACGAAGCATTCAACTTGTAGAACATGAACGAGGCAATAACAGTCACAGGAAGACCCCAACAGCCTCTAAGAAGACTATTGAACATCTCTGCCATGTTACTAGTCATAAAGCCCCATCTCCAACCTCTAGTGTCGTATGCAAGGGTCCACTTCTCCTTTAACGGCATCAAGTCAGCGAGGAATGGTCTTCCACTAGCATTCGTGGCTATCTTCAGGGTGTCTAGCTTCTCATTGAATAACTTAACCTCAAGCTACCCGCAAACCTCCTCAAATAACTTGAAGTTGTCCTTTGTGCCATCACGCCTTATAAGATTCTGAGCAAGGTGTCTCATGTACCACCGGTGATGTATTTGGCCATAACCGAGCATCTCTTCTTGTACAACATTTAGAATGCCAGCATGCCTGTCTGATATGACACAAACATCATGCCCCGGCCTAATAACCACTTGTCTTACTAGTCTGAGGAACCAACACCAGCTATCCATGTCCTCCTTCTGAACAATGGCAAAGGACAATGGGACAAGTTGGTCTTCTAAATCAGTTCCAATACATATAAGCATTGTGCCTTCAAATTTTTCTGTAAAAAAGTGCCATCAATTGAGACGACGGGCCTGCAATGCTTGAATGCTTCGATGCTCTGGCCAAAAGCCCAGAATGCCCTACCAAAAACTTGCCTCCCATTCCTCGTTTCACCCTCCTTATGCAAATACTCAAAGTGCATCCCAGGATTTACAGCTTTCAATGCATTCAACATTACAGGAAGACGCTCATACACTTGTTCCCAATCTCCAAAGATAAGTTCAAGTGCATGTTGCTTTGCCCTCCATGCTTTTCCATACTTGACATAGTAATTGTAACGTAGGAAGATGATCTCAACCAACGTGGACACCGTAATGGTTGGCAAATGCTTCACCACGGTGCATAATTGCCTAGTGATGAACCTAGAATTGAGCTGCAAATGGTTCTCTTCTACCTCAGATGTGGCACAAACATGTGGTTGCTTCACTGAAGTAATCTTCCATGTGCCTGTCTTAATTTTCCTAGTGCATACTCTCCACCCACAATTTTGTTCTTCACATGCAACAGTGTACCTAGAGTCCTTGCATGAATTGATGACCCTATATGAACAGTTGTGCACAATGGAGTACTCTTACAACCATGATTTCAAGTGATCCAGGGTAGCAATCAAAATGCCCTTCCTTATGATGTCGCAACCACTAACATCAGGTACTATTGTATCACTTGGTCCTCCATCAGCTACTGCCTGTGCACATGGCTAAGGTCCTTGAAATCAGGAACTAGTGGATCCCTGCCAGGAAACACCCTCCTCAATATCTCTATTTCCCTATCATCGAGACGATGAACAGGACGATCGTCGTTAGAGTCTTCAACTAATTCCTCTACAAAGGTTTCATCATCTCCGGCTACCTCCATATCAAACTGGTTCATAGCCCTGGCATCGCCAAAGTCATCTTCGCCACTAAGATCAGCTTCGTCACTAAGATCATCATCAATTAAGTCATCTTCGCTAGCGTCATCCAAATCTTCTTCTCCCTCAACAACTCCATAAGACTCATCATCATCATCATCACTACCATAATTGTCATCACCATCGGCTCCCGCATTGTCGTGATCAACTCCGACGCCGTCACAACAACCTTCATCTCCCTCGGCCGATCCTAACCCTTCAATACAGCCATAGGTTGGTTGCATGAGAACTATTTCTTCTAGTGAAGGACCATTCTCTATGCGAGCGTCGAACGATGGGCATGCTTCAATGTTCTCAATTCCTATGCCATACTCCTTAGTTGCCACCAAATCCAAAGATCGCACTTCGGAGGCTAACACAACTGCCTTGTAATCGTTCCATTCGGACTCACTTGTAGTTTTGAGCAACCTCTTGATGCGTGGACCCTTACACGACCAACATCAATGACCCCTTCAAACTGAACATGCACGTCTCCATCGGACCAATCTAACCTTACTTTCACTCGGTCCACTAACTGGGTCAAAGAGGGTGACTCAGAAAAAATCAACACATCCTCAAATATGTCCTCAAATTCAACACTATCATCTCTTGTCCTAACAACACTTCCTCCATGATGCGACCTCACTAATTTATCCATCTACAGCCATCACACAACAAATGTTGTCACATATCGAGCTAATATCATTCCATCAGAGCCGAACTAATAACAAATCCGACATAAGTAATATGAAAACAATAAAACAATTAACTAAATTTACCACTAGGTATTAATTAACACACTGATGCCTACTACAATGATAGCATACACTAAATAATTAACAATAGTAATTTGTACAACAATCCACATGAAACCCTAATGCCAATTTATCAACTCTTAGGCAAACTAACCAATATTTAACAAGAACTACCTAAAAACCAGACCTCAAATGACCTACCAAATCAAACTAAGTCATACATTACACAAATACATCTACAAAAATACCATAGCAACATACCCCATATTTCCACAATTTTAGAGACAATGCAAGTAAATATATGCGGATAGATTGGAAAAGGGGAAGGAGCATTACCTCAAGGAAACGTCGGCATGCGAGATCTGGCCGCCTAGAGGAGCATTTTGGAGTTAGGGTTTGTTTGGGGGTGGATGGGAGTGAGAGACAGCAGGGAGGCGTGGCCAACAGAGAAGAAGAATGAAGGGAAGGAGGAAGAAGGGGGCCTTATGTGCCCAGACCTCGGCGTTGAATCAGGCCATGCCGAGGTATGGTGTTCAGCGTTAACTAAGCCCACACTGACCTCTGCGGGCCCTAGGGCCACGGTAAAAAATACGACTAGAGTCAGCGCTGACGTGGCGGTACCTCGGCGTCAACTAACACTGCGCCGAGGCACAGACCACGGCGTTGTGTCCTAACACGCCGAGTGTTTGGTCTATTTCTAGAAAGGATTAAGTCCACTTTTGGCCCCTTAACTATTGTGTCGGTCTAATTTTAACCCTCAACTACAAAACCGTCTAGTACCGGTACCCCAACTGTCAAAACCGTTCACTTTTAGCACTTGGGCGAGGGCAAGGCTGTTTTGACTGACGTTGAGCGGTTTTGACAAGCAACCTCCATCTCAATGACATGTGGGGCCCAAGCGTCATCGACTCAGTCCCTCACCCTCCATCCTCACGGCCTCTGCCTGCCTGCTCCACTTCACTCTGAACCTCTGAGTGCGCCCGTAGCGCAGCCACCAGCGTCGACGACAGGAGGCCGTTGCGCTCTGCCGCGCCCGCGCCGAGCTGCTCGCCACGGCCGTCCGACACCGCTACGCGCTCGCCGTCCACCACCGCCACCCCCACCCTCCCACCACCTGTTCCCACCTCACAATCCCACAACCCAAGAAAGCAGCAGCACCACCGCGCGGATCTGACCTCCAACACCATCCAAGGAACGATCCAGGCTCCAGAGCCGCTCCCAAGGCTGGAAGGAGGCAGGCAGCAGAGGAGGAGGCAAACAATGGTGGTGGACCTGATGTCCTATGGCGGCGAGGCCAGGGCGTACGAGCAGGTGGCGTTCCAGGAGGCGGCCACGGCGGGTGGAAGAAGCCGAGCGCGAGGCTCCAGATGCAGGGGTCCAAGCGTGGGGTCACGCGCGGGCAGATGAAGGCGGCGTCGGCCGACATGAGGTGGCGCTAGCGCCGGCAGGTGGCGGCGCAGCGGACGAGGTCCATGGTCGTGAATGAGAGCGCTCAGAAGACGAGGAGGAGTGCCTCATCGCTCAGCGGCAGCCCATCGTCGTCGTCGCCGCTGCCACACCGGCCCTCCCATTTGAATGGCTCGCCGTGCCGCACGGACAGCCGGCGGCTGCCTTGCACGGTGCGTGGGGGCTCCGCGGCGGTGGCGGACCGGCGACACGCTGCTCTCCGTGGCGGCGACATGGTCGGTAGAGTAGGAGCAAGAGCAATGCTGTGGGTGGGGAAAGGCAACCAAACCAATGATCCGGCAGTGGTGAATCGAAGGACAAGAGAAGGCTGCTTGGATCGGATCCGCGTGGCCTGGTTGAGTAGCCCGTTCTTCAAATATTCAGCTCATCCGATTTGTTCCTCCAAACTGTCACAAATTAATCAGATCTTGTGAAATTGTGAAGACACTAGAACACCTGTGAACCCTCCCTCCCTGATCCATCCACTGCCCTCCTATAAAGGCAGCCATCTTTTCGTTCGACCTCGGTGTGACAGGAAACCAAGCAAGCATCAATTGAGCATTCGATCGCCTGCCTTTCAGCAATCCAGCCGCGACAACAAAGCATTCGATTTGATTCTCCTACAACAGTCTCGTAGAGAGCAAGCAAAAGCAGTCGATTCGATTCTCCTACAACAACCCGATGTAAGTTCCTCCTTCCTTCTCGATCAAATCATCATCTTGTGATAGAATCGATCCTCTGTTTTGCGCTCTTCTTGTCATTCAGGATGCTCTATTTCGTGAATTGAAATGCTCTGCTTTACACCGAACAACAATCTAATCAATGGCAAACTTGCAATGTAGGCGCTTGACAAGATCTGGTTCGAGAGCCTGACGGACAAGTCAAAGCTGGACGCACAGCCGAAGCTCTTCATCCGGCTGGTCCCGGACAAGGCCAGCAAGACACTGTCAATCATCGACTCTAGCGAGGGGGGGGGGACGGCGAGTGCGTAGCGGTGGCGGACGGCCACGGTGAGCAGCTCTACGCGGGCGCGGCAGAGCGCGATGGCCTCCTGCCACCGACGCTGGTGGCTGCGCTGCGGGCGCTCTCAGAGGTTCGGAGTGAAGTGGAGCAGGCAGGCAGAGACCGTGAGGATGGAGTGAGGGATTGAGTCGATGACGCATGGCCCCTACATGTCATTGAGATGGAGGTTGCTTGTCAAAACCGTTCAACGTCGGTCAAAACAGTCTTGCCCCCGCCCAGGTGTTAAAAGTGAACAATTTTGACAGTTGGGGTACCGGTACTAGACGGTTTTATAGCTGAGGGTTAAAATTAGGCCGACACAATAGTTGAGGGGCCAAAAGTGGACATAATCATTCTAGAAAATGTTTCGCTAGGGGGTTATTTAAAAAAATGTTTTTAAAAATGACAAAAATACAAAAATTCACAAATAAAAACCGCACCGAACTGGTCCCTTGGTAGAGAATAATAAAGTAAACGCTGGACCTGGGTGATAGGGCGAGCGTGTCCAAAAGCTGGGGAGAGCGTTGCATGGTGCATGCTGAGCCTTTTGGTTGCCTCAAAAGCAAGAGCGCCGCGTGGAGTGTCAGACTGTCGTCGCTTGCAGTAAATTGGAGTGGTCAAAAGGAAGGAATGCGAAGCTGACACTATGGCTGTGCCTGTGCGGGGATCGGACGGGACAATAGATCAGAGCAAATCCCATACTGTTCTGTGTGGACAGTTCGCACCAGTCATCGTCGAGCTGGTAGCCTACGATGCGATCCCGATCCCAGCGCAAACTCTCTAGCGACCGCGAGACCATAAATTTTAAAATAGTAAGTTCAGATCTTAAAATTTTAGCAAAATCGATTAAAATTTATTTAAAACAACTCAATATAATAACCAGCTACTGTGTATATTAGTGCGTCAAAGTCAACATGTCAACCCCGCGTTAGTTAGAAATCTAAGCTAGTCAGCTAGACACTAGTTAGAAATGTATGCTAGACATTATAAACTACTCTCTCAAGTCCAAAGATATCTAATGGACATTAGATTTTTTAACTTGCTCTCCAATGAATTTTGAACATTACTGAATCATACATGGGGATGGTATCCAAATCCAAATGGACCTTATCCAAGCATAGCCAAAACAACAAATAGTATCCAATTAGATTTTGGATGATCCAAATCCACTGCCAGCTCTACAAGCAAATATCCGAGAGAGAAGGAGAAGACTCAGCGTCGACTTGGGTCGTTGGCCCGTCTTGTGAATCAGCTCCGCGGCCCCCATCTTCCATCGCCGCCGACCCCGCCTTTGGCTTCTACGCCCGCCCTCCTTATAGATTGATCCGGCGGCTGCCTCTTGTTGCGATTCTCTGCTGTGAGTTGATGTTTCTTTGTTGCTGCTCGGTGGTGTCGACGTGCGCTCAGTTCTGCTCTGCTCGGTGCTGACCTAGTCTGCTCTGCTGCTCTTCGGCGCTGATCTGCTGCTACTGATCTGCTCTGCGACTGCTCTACTCGGTGCTGATATGCTCTGCTCTACTGCTCTTCGGTGCTGATCTGCTGCTACTGATCTGCTCTGCGGCTGCTCGGTTATCTACTCTGTGCCTTCTCCTGCTCTGCTGCTCCTCGGTGTTGATCTGTTGCTACTGATCTGCTCTATGACTGCTCGGTGCTGATGCCATTCCTTCCCGCGGGACCTTCGCTGGCATTGAGCTCCCCTGCATGGCTCGACAGGTCTGCTCCCCTAGCACCCTCCTCGAACTTGAGCAGGATCCTGCTCTTGTAGAGTTAGTCGAGGACTAGGATTTCTCTCCGAGTAAGAGATTCAAAGTTGAAGTTCTTCACAAGTTTTCTTCATCAGTGCATCACCCATCTTCGTCTTCTAATAGATCCTTGTTCATGCTTGTGGTTTTCTGAAGATACCTCTTTCGTTTGATTGAAGAGTCAGTTGCTATGGCTATTCATTGTTGCCTGGGTGGCTCTCCTGCTGGATTCCATGTTACCTATCTGAAAGATCGACATTTTTGCTTTTCCGTTGCCTCGAAGCATGTGGGCTTGTTGGTTCTTGCTCTCAAGAGGATTACCACTGGCCACTTTGACATCTACTTCCACATGTGGCGTGATGGGGTGGTAACTGGGAACTCCAACAGAAAAAATAGAAAAAACAAGAGAAGCATAGTTGGTCGACTGTGACTAGGCACAAATCTCCAAATCTCCCAAACAAGGGAAAAAGCATGTCTTCTAAAATAGTTTCTTTCCATAAAAAGCTCACTCAAGATTCCCCGATTCATAAATCTCGTCCTAGGGGGCTTTCTTCGGTGATCAAGATTGGTGCTATCGTCTGCCCTGTTATGAAAGACTCCTACAACGTTTTTTTGGAAAGCTTCAATTTCTTCAAATGCTCTTGTCAAGCATGCCTGCTCCTGCTCTCCAACAGCTACACTGACTGATGTCCCAATCCACCTCAATCTTGATCATGCCGCCAAGACCCAGCTGTCAGTAAGGTTTAATGATGGGTTGCCTCCCCAAGGTGAACGCTTTAGTTTTTTCCCAAGTCATGCAACCCGCCTCTGTTTCAGATGCTTAAGTCTGGCTCATCTTGTTAAAGATTGACGGGGGGAGACTCGTTGTATTTACTGCTACAATTATGGTCATCGGGCTCGTTACTATGTCAAGAGACAATTAGACCTCAAGCGTAATTGGGCCATTAAGCCCAGGAAACACCCCTTGGGTAAAGAACATAGTGGGCAAGGGAGAACAAATTACATTCAATGGTCCCTTGGTCCCAATGCACCTGATGATGCCTTGCCTTCTATGCTCGGCTCCCAAGACTCGACTCGTCGTATTCCCTCTAGTAATCAAGAGGTCATGGAAGAGGATCAAGGTTCTGTTGTGATAGTTGATGCTGCTTCATCCCTTGTTGCTCCGGCCTTTCTCCAGCCTAGGCAGAGCAATGAAAGGGAAAACACTATTGACAAAGCAGCCCGACAAGAAAGAAAACTTAGTGGTTGAACATACTGGAATTCAACAGAACCAAGCTCCAGCAATCAGCAACTCTCCAATGCCTATTATAATCAATAAGATGTTCGAAGAGCAAAGGGAATGTGAGCAAAGAGAGGCAATCTCTAGCTTTCTTGCTGCTGGTTTGAGACAGATATTCAATGTCTAGATTGTGCCAGGCATAGGAACTCTGAGGAATCTACCCATCCCAAGCTCTCTTATCCAAATTGACCTTGCCTCCCTAGGAATCAACTCCCTCAACACCATTATGAACTTCCTTGATCAAAATATTGCTACTACTATATATGTTCTCTCTAACACTTTGCAGTCCTTGCCAAGTCTTCAACCTCAACCTGTTGATCTCCACACAAGAAGTGCTCCCATAACTAGAGTGTATTACAGGAGAAAGTTTAAGGGCAAGGCTAAAGAACTCGAGAAGGCAACTATTAGTGTGGAACTTTCGTCACAACATGACGAAAACATCTTACCTGCTTCCCCCAAAGAATATGTACCAGCTCACTCAACTGACATTGCCAATATGGACAAGGGCAAAGACAATGTGGCAATGAAAAAGAAATGTTGCACTCCTGTTTCCACTCAGATGCTAAGAAGAAGCCCAAGGTTCATCGAAAAGCTTAATGGGTGTAAACCTACTATCATTTCTTCAAACAAGACAACAAATAGAAACAAAACTAAGGGCAAGAAGATCAAATCACAAACTGATCTTTTGGATGACATTCTTCTCCCTTTCACCTGTCAGACCAATGAATTCCCTGGGCTCTCTGTTATTGATAAATATAACAGTGTTGGTGCTACCTTTCCAGAAATACCTATTGCTAAAATTCAGAGGGTGGCAACAGAAATTTGCCGCATCGCTCCTTTAGAGGTGACAGCGGACTTGCTCCTTACATCAAGGCCTGAAGATGAAGCAGGCCCAAGTAGGAGTGCTGAAATCTAGTACTGTTTCCATGGACACAAGCCCCAGCAACAACAACAACAATAGAAGTCTCAATAGGTCCTGGAACATTTTAAACTAGAACATTAGAGGGGTAAATTCTGAAGACAAATGTAATGCCATCAAGGAAAAATTGATGAAACTGATTGTGCCATCTTCTGCATCCAGGAAACCAAAAGGGAGCATTTCGATCATTCCTTTATCAAAAAGCTAGCTCCAAAGCGCTTCAATCAGTTTGCTTTCTTCCTCTCCTAGGGTGCCTCTGGAGGAATACTAATTGGATGGAATGGCTCTATCATCTCTGGTCAAGTTGTTCAAATAAACAAATTCAATGTAATAGTGCGCTTTACCTCATCTCATAATGGGCAAACCTAGACTCTCTTCTATCTATGGTCCCTGCCATGGACCTGATAGAGACACTTTTGTTCAATGGATCAATGATCTATAGCTCAATGCAGAGGAAAATTGGATTTTGGCTATTGATTTCAACTTCTATAGAGCACTATCTGATAGAAATAGAGATGGGGGTAATATGAATGACAATGATTTTTAATGAAAATATCAGCAATCTGGGCTTAATGGAGATCCCTCTCAAAGGAAGGAATTTTACTTGGTGTAACATGCAAAGTGTTCCCCTTCTTGAACAAATTGATTGGGTTTTTACCACTCCCAACTGGACTTGTGATTTCCCAAACACCCTCCTCCTTCCTATGGCTAGACCCACTTCTGACCATATTCCTTGCAAGATTCAGATTGGCACCTCTATTCCGAAAGCACATATTTTCAAATTTGAAAATTTTTGGGTTGAACATCAAGGCTTCTATGATTTAGTAAAATATGTTTGGAGCACCAATATCTCGGCTACTAATAGTGCAACCAGAATCACTGCCAAATTTAAACTCCTAGAGAGCTGCTTTAAAAAAGTGGAGTAAAAGTCTCTAATCTCAAACGCTTGATAAAGAATTGTTACTCCATTCTAGAAGTCTTGGATTCACTGTAAGAACAAAGGCCTCTGTTTATCCAAGAATACAACTTCAGGAAAATCCTGAAGAATCACATACTCATGCTTCTCAAACATCAAAAGGAATATTGGAAGAAAAGATATACTACCAGATGGACTAAATTCAGCGATGAAAGCACAAATTTTTTTCATGCTGCTGCTACAGAAAGATACAGGCTCAACACCATCATCTCTCTTGAAACTGAAGATGGCAGATCAGTTTATGAACACAGTGAAAAGGCTTCTATGCTTCTTGAAGAGTACAATCACATGATGGGATGCACCACCAACCCTACCATGCCCTTTGACCTAACCCAGCTTGTTCAGACTAGTGATAGCCTTGATGAAATGTCCAGGCCTTTCAGCATCGAGGATATTGATTCTGTCATCAAGCAAATGTCTGTAGATAAAGCTCCAGGACCTGATGGTTTTAATGGGTTTTCCTAAACAGTTGTTGGGAGATAGTCAAAGAGGACTTCTATAACCTGTGCTTTGATTTCTTCAATGGTTCCTTGGATCTGTAGTCTATAAATAATTCCCACATTACCCTGATCCCCAAGACAAACAACCCTGCTATTGTCAATGATTTCAGGCCTATCTCCCTTCTCAACTGTGCTATCAAAGTCATCACAAAGTTATTGGCTAATAGGTTGCAAGGTAAAATTATACCCCACATTCATACCAACCAATATGGTTTTATCAAAAGCAGAACCATACAGGACTATTTGGCTTAGGCCTATGAGTACATTCATCAATGTCAACAATCCAAGAAGGAAATAGTCATTGTTAAATTGGACTTCACAAAGGCTTTTGACACCATTGAGCATAATGTAATCATTCAAATGATGAGGCAACTAGGACTTGATGAAACTTGGTGTGACTGGATTCAGAGAATTCTTATCTTGGAAACCTCTTCTATTCTACTTAATGGAGTTCATGGCAAGCACCTTCATTGCAAGCAGGGGGTTAGGCAGGGTGACCCACTTTCCCCTCTCCTCTTTGTGTTGGCTCCTGATCTTCTTCAATGTATCATCAACAAAGGTCACAGAGAAGGTCTCTTTCAACTCCCAATTCAATCCTACGAAAATGCTCAATATCCTATTATCCAATACGCCGATGACACCATCCTCATCATGAAAGCCTCCCAGAGAGAACTATTCACTCTAAAGGGTCTGTTGGAATCTTTTGCTCAATCAACTGGTCTTAGAGTTAACTATATGAAGTCATGTTTGATCCCTCTAAACCTCTCACATGACAAAGCCCGACAGCTGGCTGGAGTCTTTGGTTGCAAGTTGGAAACCCTCCCTTTCACCTACCTTGGGCTGCCATTGGGCACCACTAAGCCAAGAGTGGAGCATTTTGGATTCATCATGAACAAGGTGGAGAGAAGACTCACCGCCACTTCAAATTTCCTCTCACGCTGGAGGATTGGAACTGGTTAATTCTGTCATTTCTTCTCTTCCTACACATGTTATGTGTACTCTACAGCTACCTGTCTCAGTCATCGATTACATTGAGAGAGCAAGAAGGCACTGCCTATGGAAGGGGGTCTGACAGTAATGCTAAAATGAAGCCGCTAGTGGCTTGGCTGAAGTGTTGTAAACCAAAAAAGAAAGGTGGACTGGGTATTATCAACCTAAGAAGTCAAAATTCTGCCCTTCTACTTAAACATCTAGACAAGTTCTATAATAAGAAGGAAATTCCCTGGGTGAAACTTATTTGGCATGCTCACCACTCTAATGGAGACATCCCACATGCCTCTACTGATAAAGGTTCCTTTTGATGGAGGGATGTTCTGAAGCTTTGTGACCTTTTTGGAGGGATTGCTAATTGCAAAATTGGAGATGGATCAACCGTTCTCTTCTGGTCAGATCTATGGAATGATAATGTCATGCAGATCAAGTTTTCAAGGCTCTACTCTTTTGCAAAGAACAAGAATATCTCAGTCTCACAATTCCTATTAAACAATAGCCTCTAGTCACAGTTTCATCTCCCATTGTCTGAATAAGCTTATCATGAATACCAAGGTCTTCAGGAATACATACAAACAATTTAGGTGGAGCAGCAACTATACGTCATCTAGATTCTACTACCTACCCTACAAAAATTTACAGCCTCCTGCTCCCTTTCTCTGGATTTGGAATTCAAAGTGCTGCAACAAACTCAGAGTGTTCTCCTGGCTTCTACTCATGGACAAACTAGATACTAGAAACATCCTCAGGAGAAAAAAGCATAAATTAGAGGGCACAAACTAGATACTAGAAACATCCTCAGGAGAAAAAAGCATAAATTAGAGGGCAATAATTATATCTGTGTTCTCTGCAACAATAATGTTGAGAAAACTGCTCACCACCTATTTTTTTAGTTGCCCCTTCAGCCAGGAATATTGGCAGCACTTGGGAATCCACAGCCTGTTCGGTTGACTGGTTCGTTACGTTGCTGGTTCGTGAAGAAGTACTGCTGGCTGGTTTGTGTGAGAGAAAAATACTGTTCCGACTGAAAATTTACTATCGTTTACGACAAGCCACAGCCAAATGAACAGGCTGTCAATGGAACCTTCAGAGTGAATTCTTTAAAATGATGATACAATCAAAACAACAGCACCAAAATCTTTTCTTCATGGAGACCTTCATCATTGCTTCCTGACATATTCGGAAGCAGAGAAACAACTTCATATTCGATAGAGGTCGGCCTTCTTTCTCTTCTTGGAAAACCCTCTTCTATGAAGAAGCTAAACTTCATGCTTTTAGAATGAGAGATGATAAACGTGTAGATTTTCTCCTCTGTTTAGATCTCTCTAAGGACTCCCTGGTTTTTGGCCTACGGTTCCCTTCCCGCCGTGGCTACCTCAGCCCCCAGCTGGTTGGTTTGTTCTTATTTCCCTATATTTTGTACAGGTTTCAGTTTTTATTTAATATATTCCTACCGTGGAGGCTTCCCCTACTATATTTCCTGTTCAAAAAAACCAAGCAAATATCCAAGCTTTCTTTCTGACAGAGCATCAGGTTTTTTTTTTGCTATCTACACGATACAATGTGTGATGCGTTCGCAAAGAACAAAATTCAGGAACAGATAGGCTAAACCTTTCCAAAAAAAATGATACACTACTATTCTCCTTTTAACGATGCTGATACATGGTTCCACCAGAAACTATGCCTCTACAAGTCCTTTGTTGCGTGCTTTCTCTTCCCACCTTTCCCTGCTTTTGAACTTGCTTGGGCATCCTCTTCCGTCTCGGTTTCTATCCTTGCAAACACTGGCTTTGGCTCCGACATTACCTGGCCTGCTATAAGGCCTCCCCATTTCGTATCCTCCTAATGAAATAGCTGAAAATGATTACATGCTCTGGAAAATATTGAGGCAGATTCATAAAAGATTGAAGACTGCATTTTCCTGATAATGCCTGATTGTATTGTTGAGGATGAACATGTATAAATAAGAATGGAATCATTCAGCACGTCTGTGATATAAGAACATACCCATCTCAACACCCTAAACTGGTCTTTTGTGAAACCAAGCTGTGTGTAAATCCTCAGAGAAAGGCTTGGAGTGATAGGAGATAGTGCGATTGCAATTATCCTCATTGTCTCTAAAATAAGTACAAGATCCTGTAGATAAGTTGAGACAGATTAAGCCATGTAGTCATATCACAAAAGTACAGACGTGGAGTGCAATTTCTCTAGAATGTGTATCATAGCTTGCCAAACAACATATGAAATAACAATCATTTATGGTTCCATCCAAATATTTCACAACAATGGAACAAGTTTTGTAGAGTTAATAAGTAGCTTCATGCATCATATACATCAGATAACATTAGATAAATCATTGACCATTTAAAAAGGCCTTAAGATATATTGTCAGCACATATAAGATTTATTGATGATGTTCGATATCACAGAGAGTATACCAGTAATGGTGAAATCAGAGCTAGAATGCTGTCAGAACAGTCAGATGTATAACAATAATAGTATTTTGAAGCTCCAAGGGAGGCCACTTTCAT